ACTAATCAACATAGCCCAATCAATCCCCACCCTTTGACTGCCTTAACGGCCCACATCCTGCGACACACACTCCCCATGAACATTAAAATAAGTTTTCAGTGTCTCTCCAGCCCCATAGATAAAACACGTCTTTCCTTCAACACTGTGAAGAATGTCCCATGGGACCACAAACATATAACAAGGTATTTTGTCATATCTGAACTGAACCTATTGTCTCTCTTGTATTGCCCCAAAAGTATTAAGAGTGTTTAAATCAGAGCAGTTAGTATTTGTGCTGCATCTGAACAACTAGAGCCAAGTGCAGTTTTAACCAGATTCTCTGCACTCCACCCCATTCCAGCTATGTTGGGTGGAATAAGAACACAGCTGATCAGCGGATTTGTGACAGTGTAAACTTATATAAAATGTGGGTTGTATTGTTCTTAATATGTGCATTTGCATGCTTCAGTCTCTGTAAAATATAGTTTTAGTTCAACTATTGATGCTACTGTATCTGAACACACAAAACCAAGTACTGCTTTAATCAGACTCTCCACACTCCACTCCATTCAAGTTGGACTCAGCTGATTGTGTATCATCCTTTGCTCCTTATAAAGCTGCTCTCTATCTAGTCCTGCTGTCCTGGGAGTGTTCATGCTAAACTGCACATCTTGCTCTGTCACATCACACAGCACTAAGCCTGAGTTTTCAGCACTAAGTGGCTACAAGTGCTGCTGAACACAGGAAGACGATTTGCATAGAAGAGAAACTTTGCATTGGCAGCACATGCTTCAGTGCTCTGTGAGTGTTTATAGCTCTGTGAGTTTAACACTTCATGACTGAGACCTGCCCTTCGTGGAAACAGAATCCACAGCAACTATGACTTTCATCACCGTCTTCATCTGGACACTCCTCATCTGGGCTCAGGGTAGGAATTACTTTATATTTATATTAAAAGTCCAAAGGTTAGGAAGATTTCATCCTTTTTTTCACCTCATGTTTTGATTTTCATTCTCAGAATCCAGTGGGCAGGTTACTGTGACTCAGACTCCAGCAGTGAAATCTGCTGCGCCAGGACAGACAGTCACTGTGAGCTGTAAGACCAGTCCTGCGGTGTATGGTAACAATTGGTTAAACTGGTACCAGCAGAAAGCTGGAGAAGCTCCTAAACTCCTGATCTATGGAGCAGCTACCCGTCAGAGTGGGATCCCAGAGCATTTCAGTGGCAGTGGATCTGGGACTGACTTCACTCTGACCATCACAGGAGTCCAGGTTGAAGATGCAGCAGATTACTACTGTATGGGTCATCACAACCTCAACACTCATACAAAAACCTCTCTCAGCAGGACTGCACAGTGACTCCACTGCTACAGCTGGGACCTACTGCAGGTGCTGAGGGTGAAGGCAGAGACACAGAACACCACTTGTGAAGGAGCTCAACTGCACACAAACATATTTTAAATCTCACATAATTGTCTGGATTCAGTGTTTTAAATTTGTGTTTGTGCCAATTTGTGCCATTTCTTAGAAGTGTGATAGAAAGGGTTTTTGACCAATTTGCTGACAATTTACTGAATTCAGTTTACTGAGTTTTACTGAAAATGCAGAGATTATGTGCTAAAATAGGTTGTACATACACCAATAATAAATATATTGTTTTGTCTTTAGTTATGAATCAATTTTTCATACTGTATGTAGCACTGTAAATGTTATACACATCTTCATCTGTAAGAGGGCAGGGCCCAACAATATATTGTCTGACAGTGTCTTGCAAATTCTGCCTGCAAACTCTTTAAATTCCTGTTACTTCAGTGACTTATCTCTGGCCTGGATAGCAGAAATGGAACAGAGTGCTATTCGCTCTCCAAAGTTACCTTGCCAGTCTGGGTAGCTGCATGTATTGCTGTGTCTGTGTTGCCATTCTGTCCTGATAGTTAGAGAATGGAGAAGCACATTTTCAGATGTATCAGAATACCAGACTACCTGGTGACATCAGCTCTACAGCTCTTCCACATAATCTCAGCTCAATACTGCTGCCTCTCCTACGTTTCCTCTGCTCACTCATACTCCTCTCCTATGGTAACTCTGCTCAAACACAATCTTCTCCTACAGAAACTCTGTTCACACACACTCTTCTCCTACAGTAACTCTGCTCACTCACACTCTTAAGTCCTTGTCTGTTCAGTGCTTAAACACAAATCAGCACAGTTTCCCTTGCAGGATTTGTGAAGTACTTTACTGAGTACATCGTAGGGGAGCTGGAGAGTATATTGGCAAGATAAACCCTGGACAGGACAAAAATCCATCACATGGCAGAAACATAGAGATGCGTCCAAGTTAATCTCAGCGTGGGTAAACCTTTTGAATTGTGTATGATAAATAGTAATATAGAAATCATGTGAATAATAATAAACACCAGCATCCAGGAATGAAAAATATATTTTATTCTGAGGAGAATTTATGGTGTGTACATTTAATCTGCCAGCACCACTAATCAGATTAATCTTCAAAACCAAACTGCACACTTTTTCAAACAGTCAAGCCAGCAGGACAGATGAAACTTGTTTTCAGCAGAGCTCACTTCAACACTGAAACAAGTCCCAAAAACAAAAGGACAGAAGATGCAAAGTCATTTTTTACAGCTCAATTTCACATGAAAACTCTGAAAACTAGAAAACCTCAGAAACAATATTTTCCAAATGGTGCTTCTCCCCAGTTGAATAGGTTTTCTATAAAATGCCAATGGTAGTTAAATTTCCCTCCTAAAACATTTGAAATTGCACCTATGTGTAAACAATCTTCAGGTGTTGGAAAAATATTAAGACTGTGGCTACGCTTTGCAAGTTTCTGATTGAAATTAATTCTGCAGTCCATGAAAATATCTGGGGATATCTGAACTATCGCTGCACCTGCTTGTGCTCTACTTTCTTACCACCAACTATGACTGCTTGGGTTTGACCTCGGTCTGCCAGTCATTTTATTAGCGCAAGATTATGAGAGTCAGGTTGACTTTATTTCTGACTCTCCGCTAAAATAACAGTTTAACGTACTTCCGGTTAATAATCTGAGAAGCAGTGTAATTCAGCAGTGTAGAGGACCTGTCTACCTGCTGATCGAGTGCTTCTGCACTTTACTGCAGCATATTTTTGTGAGACTGGATTTGCATGTTAAACTGCAATGAAAACAAAACACACGAATAGACTTGATACTGCACCTGCTATGAGGATCCAGCTCTCCAGCAAGGTTCCTTATATTATCCCCTTGCAGGGGATTATACTTTTGGACACTGTCAAAGTATATTTAAATTCATCCAGAAACCAATTCACCTACCAGAAACCAATTAACCTAGCAGCTTATCTTTGGACAGTAGTTGGAAACAGGAGAACCCGTTTCCCCTGAAACAGAGGAAACCCACGCAAACACATGAGAAAATCTAAACTCCATGCAGACAGCACCCGAGGAATTGAACCCAGAGCCCCAGTACCGTGAGGCAGTTAACAATTGTGCCATCCACTCATGGACTTGACAAAATATGAATTACCTATGACTGAGAATGACAAATGGTCAAATTTCTGAATAGGTGCCAATTATAGACAGATACAGTATCGCTGCTGCTGCACAATTATTATTGGTGCAATATAGTTAGTGTGCACTATTAAATATATCAAATATATCACTTATAACTCAGAAATGTAATTAGTACCTTTACCACTGTTATACAGGGGCAGTTCAAGTGTTCAGCACTAATACATTAGTAAAACTTACTCACAAAGAAGATTAAAGCAACGAGCTGATGAAGTATCAAGTTAATATTCATAAGTCCGCCGTAATTTTTCATATAAAGTGTTACTGATGTTCTGTTTAAAACATCCTGACCAGACCCATGACCCGCTCTCTTGCTTTCCTGCCCTTGAACAGATGCAGCTCTCCGATACCCCTGCAGTGTGACCTCCCTCCACCAGCCCACTCTCCCCCACACTAGGCAAATCAGCCCGGTTGCACTCAGCTCAGACTGTCCCCGGAGTATTTTTGCCTATGAAATCTCAAGATGTGGCGAGAAACTGAACCTGCTGCTGAGAGGGGAGATCAACTCCTTTTTGGAGAAACTGGGGAAAGCCATGGATTTCCCCAAACTCAGAGACTCAGACTGGCTCTGCGACTTTTCATTTGCTGTGGACATTTTCGCTCACTTGAATAACGTAAAACTGCAAGGAAAAGGTGTCTTTGTTCCAGAACTGTACTTGAATGTGAATGCATTCAGAGCTAAGCTCACCTTGTTCTCAAAACATATGATCAGCCGCTCGTTCACACATTTCCCCACTCTTGGGATACTAGACGTGTCACACGCTGAAGCACTAAGGTATAACAAGTACCTCAAAGACTTGCATGGAGAATTTTCCCGTCGATTTGCTGACTTTTATAAAATTGAGACGTCTCTAACTTTGGTGTCATGTCCTCTGACTTTCAACTATGAGACGGCAGCACAAGAATTGCAACTGGAACTTATCGATCTGCAGTGTGACATAACTCTGAAGGAAAAGTTTCATTCTGTAAAGCTGGATGAATTCTATGCATCACTGAATGAGGCCAAGTTTCCCCATATTCGACAAGCAGCACAAAAGATACTGGTGTTTTTCAGGTCTACGTACGCGTGTGAGCAAACATTCAGCTTGATGAACATCAACAAATCACATCACAGATCACGGCTTAGTGACCACCACTTGAGAAGTGTATTACGGATTGCCACAACACAGCTATCAATGGATTTTGATGCTCTCGCAAAAAGAGGTTCAGGTTCAAGTTCAAGTTTATCGTCATTATACTCATATACAGGTACTGTATATGGTATAATGAAATGCTATTTAGCTAGCTCTCAGATGGTAAGAAGTACAAAAAAAACAACAACAAAACAATTGTATAAGAAAAGAAAGACAGAGACAACAGGCAATGTGCAAAACAACAACAGGTAACAGGTAATATGCAAAACAACATCAGATGTGCAAAATCAAACATCAATAGAATGAAATAAAGGATAGAAAATTATGGGGAGTGAGCTTCTTGACACCTACGAGATAGAGGTAGATTTCAATGTGTGTTTGAGTTTTGGTAAGAGAGAAGGCACTGTGAGGTTCAGATCGTAGGTGAGAGAGGCTGGGAGTTTAATAGTTTGATAGAGATTAATAATATCTCTGAGTCTGGTAGTCTGGGCCCGAATGCTCCAGTACCGCTTTTCCAGATGGTAGAGGGTCATATAGTCTGTAGTTGGGGTATGTGGGGTCTTTGATGATGCTTAGAGCTTTCCTCAAGCACCGTCTTTCATAAATGTCCTGGATGGATGGAAGAGCAACCCCAGTGTTGGACTGGACAGTTTTCACCACCCGCTGTAGGGCTTTGCAGTCAGCAATACTACAGTTGCCACACCACACTGTGATGCAACTAATAAGCCTATGCTGGATTTTAAACTTCCATAGGGCATAGGCTATCTATAACAGCAGCCTGAAGTGGCCCGCTATACAGTTTCGAAATTTAAAGTTTTCCCACCCCTCTTCTAGTGTGAGTTTTATGAAGAACCACAACTTAATATTTTGCATTTTTCCACACAATGTCCAATGTAAATAATTTTCACTTCATGTTGCGGCATTACCTTGTCTTTGAAATGAATTAATCTCAAACAGTTATTGACCTTACCTAGTGTGTGCTGTACTCTTGGGGTGCAGACTGCCTGACAGAAGCATCCCAAAATTAAAAGGGTGTTTTAGACAGTGAACTACATCTTTATGTTTGTTTCTATAGACAACTCTAGTCTTGTCTCTAACTCACTAAGTGAATGCTTTTTCTCATGACTGTCCAAAAGATGACATAGAGTACATTATTCCTTATCCTTATAGCTACCTGGTGGCATAGTTTGGCTACACTTGTGCTCTGAGTACTGATTCCTCACTCTTATACAGTTATTTTTACAGTTATACAGTTAAGTACTTTGTACTTTCTATATGCACAAGAGCTTCAAAAAGAAGGGTTTTGAAAATAAAACAAAACAAAGTCTCCTAAGTATTTTTATGAATCACAGAGACTGACATATTGTCAGTTCAATTCAATTGTTTTCTGACACTGAAATACAAACTGCTAATAAACAGTACTTCAGAGCACGTAATGGAGGTATAGTGGAGGTTTTAGTGTTATATCTTGAAAGGATTTGAACATGATGTTGAAAGGATATGAACAAAATGGTTTTCCTCATGTTTTGGATTGGAATTAAAGCCAGTGTTCATGTAGCTCATGTAGCTCTAAGAAGGGGTTGGGAATCTGGGATCTGGGAGAGTTAAAATAAGAAATACCTATAAACTTCTGCTTTTATCAGTTATGTTTACAGTTCATATGGAATAATTAGATCACTGTAAGGGGAATTTTCAGCTCATCTTCACACTTAAGTCTGATGAAAGCGTATGCTTCTACCTATTGTAAGGCCTCATACTAACTTCATGTCCAACCAACCAGTAAGAATATTTGAGGTAAATACACAACACCAGTGATACTTTCTCTTTAATTGAAAAAAACAAAAGGAGTCATATT